AGTAATATTGAAATGCAACCAACAAGCAACAGCGTTGCTTCGAACAAAAACTTGGGGGCGAATATTTTCCAAACCATCAGATGACGCCGATGAATAGCTGCCGCCATCATGACGAATAACGTCTAAAATGGTTAAGATCAATGCAATAAACCCAATATTTATGAAAGACGGTTTCTTTAAATTGACAAAAAGAAGTGTTTGTCTTTGGGACTTTTACTGTGGTACTACTATTAAGCTTCCCGTAAATGCAACGAAATTTTAAGCTCCAAAAACACTACCAAACATTTCTTGAGTGTCACGAGGTTTCACCATTGCTTTCTCACATGCCCGTCTTTACGAAAGCATTTCGCGTAGAGGCCAAGTACTGCTGTTTTTACTAAAAAACAGCTCAACGTGATGATCTCCAACAAACTCGCGAACACGAGCAGCGATGCAAACAAGGCATTTGCCTACAAACCGTATCTTCGTCCTACACTGCATCATCGAGTACTAGCTTTGTCGATTTTTATGCCACATTTGATTCTATCCACTGCCATACAATGCAGAATATCTGTAGTTTTGAAATCCAGAGCAGATCATCGTTATAATTTATTATGGGAAGATTAAAGCTGTGAAAGTCGAAGTGCGGGTTCGATAATGATTAGAGTTCAAATATGGCATCAGACAAAATGATGCACTTTCATCTCAGCTCTTCAGTGTATCAGTGCATTAATACATCGTGCAACAAAATAGTGCTGAACGACACTGCGAGAAAGGCCATATGCTAAGACAGCGGCAAAATAACAGGCTATTATGGAATATGCAGATGACACTGCGTTTTTGGGTGACACAGGCAAAAGGGTCCACTAGCTAACTAAACTAGTGTGCATGACTAGCGAAAGCGGGCTTCTAGCTGAATCCTCAACTAAAAAAAGTGAAGAGAAACTCGGACGGAATAACGGAAGCGAAACTGTTCCATGGAAAATACTCCAACGAATAAATCATCATTTGGGACGATGGTCACTATGATCAGTGCCAAGATATCTGGACTACGCTAACTTCTTACCTTTTAGAAGCCTCTCGAAAATCTGAATTGGGAACTAAAATCTGAAGGGGAATAACAGCCAGTCCGAAAGCCAATCTTTACCTGGCTACAATCAGACCGATTCTGCTGTACGGAACTGAATCAGTTGATCTTACGTCTGCAGTGGGGTCAATGCAACGTCGAACAGCGTAAGACATGTTTTCGCATCGATTACTATCGATCATTTTTTGTGCACACCATGAACATTATAGGTGTTTATTATAAACATGTACAGAACAGAACCTCTATTACAAAATTGCATACGCCTTTAGTTAAGAGTGATCACAGAAAAATTCTGCTAAAACTACTGCTCTGTGGTCAATCAAGATAGAATAGAGTACTCAGATATCACGTGACCAAAATTTTGTGCCAAAAGAAACATTTCCTAAGAACCGCTTCACACAACCACTACAAAACAAAACTATGAATATACCTTCAATCCCAACGAAGCAAGGAAAATGAGGTCACAGCGCAACAAGTCTTTCTCGAAACCACTTTCGTGCATTACATACTCAACTTCGTTTTTGGTCGAAAAGTTTGTCATAAAGTGCTTCCGTCGACACATTTTCCAGACGATCTGCAACGGAACTGCGAAAACGCACAAAACTACACTGGCTGCGACATGGAAAACAATTAAGAAGGCTGGAACAAAGTTGCAAGCAACGTTCCCGGGAACTCCAATAAACGCAGCCTCCCACGGAATAGAGGAAAAACATGGTTGGTGACCGAACGCATAGAAGTAACGATAGCATATCTCGCATAAGAACACCGTCGATGAGACCAACGAATCTAAAATATGATTCCTGCATGTTAAATAGAAATAAAACCGTGACTGTCTTCAACAGGTGGAAACTGAAAAGTTTTCGAACTGTCGAAAAAGATTTAGCTCGCGGAAAAGCAAAGAATAGGCATAAACCAGCACTATCAAACCGGTGCTAGAAAAAATTTTGTCTTTCACTAATCAGGCGGTTGACGCTGATGCTAGACTAACAGGTAGTACGCTGCCACTGAACTAAAGTCTATGGCTACAAAAAAGAACAAAATTAAGCACAAAATGCCAACCGTAAACTAAAAGAACATGTAACATTCCAGATGTTCAAACTGCGTGGATACATGACTTACTTTACTGGCCTCTTAAACATGTGACAGCAAGGGTAGTACGACACTACACGGTGAAATCCAGGGTGTGTTGGATGAATCAAACACCTATTAGCATACGCGGACTACAATCCTCATATTTTTGTTTTTACATATACATCAATAATACTGAAGTATTTGATTCGTTGGTAATCACTCGGCACTGAACTTACGACCTGAACGACCTCCAAATTTAACCTACATTATGACCTTTTAGAAGGCCAGTGAGACAACATGCGAAAAGTCACTATCTATCAATGACCCAACTGGCCACGTTGGGCACTGTATATAAAATAACGCCATTTTTCTTCACAATACTGAAAAATCTGCAGCAAAATAATTCCACCAAACTAGGCTCCACTGTGCTACGCGCTAGTTCTTGGTCTTAGATGCCTAGCGAAAAATTCAAATAGCACAAGGACCCGTGATATCTGAATACTGCTGTGCAAACATGCATCTTGACTCACTGTATTGGTTAAAGTCAAACTCTGCTTAACACCTCTAATGTTTCAGGACGGAGGGTCTTTTATATTCACTCACAAAAGAGGATATACGGGTATGTCCGCCGCTAGTGCAGCGCGTCCGCGCGAGCGATCTCTTCCTCTAAACTAAGTAGTCATAACTGCCAGTTTAAGCACGTGGTCAGGATGACAGAAATTCGCAAAGAGAACCTTTCTCAGACCGCAAGAGGGAAGCTTAGGTCCTGGTGGCTTGTTTGTGGTGAGCATCTGGCACTTTAAAGTCTTGAATCATACTGGGGCTTATCTAGAGCAATTTAAAAAAGGCTTTGAACACTTAAAATTTTAGCTCGGAAGAAAATGAGCTATGACAATGAATCAGTGGCAATCAACCGTTTCCTGACATACGGATGAGCATATTAGAAGCAAATTTCTACCTTGAACAATACCATTGAAATGATAACCGAACAGTCGGTCAGTCATTTATCAGCGGTTGAATGTGCTACTTTATACTACACTTTAGAAACCACATTCGCGTCATTTGACCAGCACAACAGTCAGTTTATAGTAAACTATTTAATCTCACCTGAGTTGAGATCAGACAGTGATAGCAACAGCACAAATAGAGTGACCATCGAAAAGCTGAATCCGTCACCAAGAACGAGGACTGCAACAATAGAAATGTTTCGGAACAAAGTAACGAAACTACCACTGAACGCGGTTGCAAAGCCAGCGACACAGACTGTCTTGTCCTGCTGCCAGTCGCACAGATGTTTCCAGTTTGACCTAAGAAATCTGAACACATCAGGAACGTCTGTGTTACTGCCTACCGGGAAACCGGTCAAATCTGGATAGAACACGGACAGAAATAACGGATTCGACAGGTACAGTATGACAAATAAAGCAGCTACAAAGTAAACAATGCGAGGGGCCACTTGCACAAGAGTGGTCGTCGGACCAGTGACTGCATGTTCTGCGATCCATTGAGCTAACCAGAATATGCCAACGAAAACAAAGCCACACTTCGCACAGAACTCGCATATCACAGCCACAATCGAATCTTCATCTAAATGGCCACATTTTTTCATATAGTACCAAGGAATAAAAAACAGGCATGACAGACTAAAAAGAGCAGTCACAACACGCTGCGCTTTCTCCGACTGGTCGAACAGACTGGCAAACGGCTGGCTGAAGAACGAGGCGCTGCACAGAAGTTGCTCCTCTCTGCATCTTTTGAACAGCGTGCCAGACCTCACTAACACAACGGCGGCAAAGTAAATCGCCGAAGGCTGCAAACACCGTCGCAAACTTCCATTGCTGTACAGCATGCCGTGGCGCTTGTGACGTCGTGTGTGATGCAGAGTCCGAAACTTGGTCATTTTGGCATAATGGTTCATCGTGAACAAGAGAAACAGAGTCTGACAAAAGAACTGCGATACCGCGTCTTCGTTTACCACATAGCTATTAGAAAATGCGGACAAACAGTGGGCACTGAAGACAAAGCACGTCAAGAGTTCGACGCAAGACGGCAATGTATCGGCGTTTAAGGCCACGTGGAGCAATGTGTGAAGGTGCAACGCCACTTCCATGCATAATACTATGCCGATGATCGGCGGAATGCTTTCGTTCTGGGCTAGAACCGCCCATAGGAACAATCCAAATATAGAAGATTTTAAGAAAATCGTTCGGTCACTCCGCCACCTATCGGCGTCGCCGAAGATACTGACCAACGACCATAAAAAAGTTTCACCAACCGCTAGGATGCCAAGCATCATCCAGCCCAAATGAAATTTCGCCCAACAGTTGGCGAATATCTGCCCGACTTTGCCGACGATATCCAAACATTTATCGACAGTTAATTCTTCCGAATCCAAGCTGTAAAAAATGTTAAGAAGCGACGCAAATCTCTCAGAAAGCAACGCATCGTGAAAGTTGCTTAGATATGTCTCCGTATAACGTATGACCTAGAAAACAATTCGAAATACGTTACTGAATCTTATAGGTGGAACTACGATCATTTCAATCACGTTATTCACTATTCCTTGTTTTCCAACACAGTTGGTTGTGAGAAAAAAGTTCTAAACTCTATGAACTTGGTGAAAAAAGAAAAATAGACAATACAGAACACAGTGACAGTATGAGATTAAAACGAAAGCAACGGCTTTAAAATAAAAGTGCAGCAACCGCAAAAAGTAGCCTACTGTTAGGTGTTCAAAATGTTTATTAAACTAAGTCGACTGTGCAATTTCTGAC